TTTGCAGTGGATTAATTTAGAACAATCTGAGATTTGAAGGGTCACAGATTGTGTGAGGATTCACATGTAAGTACGCACATACATGCATGTGTACATATGTGTGAATACATGAACACACAGGCACACACTCCAGCTGTCACAGACACACACACCAGCTGTCACACACAGACACACGCACCAGCTGTCACACACAGACACACACACCAGCTGTCACACACAGGAACACACACCAGCTGTCACACACACACGCACCAGCTGTCATACACAGGCACACGCACCAGCTGTCACACACACACACACACACCAGCTGTCACACACAGACACAGACACCAGCTGTCACACACAGACACAGACACCAGCTGTCACACACAGACACACGCACCAGCTGTCACACACAGGCACACGCACCAGCTGTCACACACAGGCACACACTCCAGCTGTCACACACAGGCACACACTCCAGCTGTCACACACAGGCACACACTCCAGCTGTCACACACAGACACACGCACCAGCTGTCACACACAGGCACACGCACCAGCTGTCACACACAGGCACACGCACCAGCTGTCACCCACAGGAACACACACCAGCTGTCACACACAGGCACATGCACATCAGCAAAAAAGAAGACAGAGAGCAAAGCCCAAACAAGCGCCAACCCAGTCACTCTCCTGCCAGAAGTTCTGCTCAGCACATCAGATGTGCAAGCTGACAGCACGCAAGCAGACCACACGACCGGACAGGGCTCGGACTGCAGGGCCCGCAGCCAAAAGCTCTGCACATGCACCGGGTCATGGGAGGAGAGGGCAAGCAGGCAGGAGGAGGCCAGAGACGGGGAGCATCTTCTGAAACAATGACGGAGACACTGAGAATGCAGCTCCCGGATGTGCGGACCTGGCTCACACACAAAGGAAATGTCTCGTTCCAAAACAGACTCGTTGCTGAGAGAGAAACTCGCTCCTAGAACAACACAGCTCGCTTCAAACCCACGTGGACAAAATGGGGAGACAAGAAAAGTCAGGATGACAGCCCAGAAATGTGCCAGCCAGGCCCTGCTGCCCTCCACAGTGGACTGTCCTCTGGCTGTGGTGACTTTGATGCATGGCACCGAGCACCAGGGCCCTGAGGCGGCAGGCAGAGGGCGGGAGCTGGAAGCCAGACCGAGTTCACAGCTACACAGGCTGGTTCTGGGCGGTGGCTCTGGGCAAGGCCTGGGATGATGGATGCAGTCGCTGACCGGCAGCCACATTCCAGCCTGGCGGGCAGTCTGCTCCCACGTGGCTAGGACTTGGCTGAAGCGGTGGCTGTTAATCCCCTTTGGCTGGGATGCTGGGCACTGGGGTGAACGCCACGGCGCCACACAGCTTAGGGTGTGGCCCCGGGAGCATGACCTGGCCCATCAAGGCTGTGTGAAGCACACAGCCCGAAAGTGCATTCCCTCCCCTGACACCAGACCCACACAAGCTGGCCAAAGATACCACCCGTGTGGAGCCCCATGTCAGGAGGCCAGGGGTCCCGTTACTCACCCTGCCTCCAAATAGGGCCCAAGAGTCCAAGGAGCAGGTTTTGCATCTGAACTTCAGATGCCAGGCCTGTCAATCCAGCCTGTGCCAGCCCTCGCCAGTTAGCCCTCAGAGGGTGCCCTGTCCCCACATCAGGTCCTGCTGCCCTCTGCCTGGAGGCCTGGGTGTGGCGAGTGGCTCTGGGCTAGCACTCTGCCCCTCTCTAGGACGCCTCTCCCACCTTGGTGGACACTCCTGCCTTGCCACCCAGTATGGGATACAGACAGCACCTTGAGTCAGCCCAGGGGTCATTTCCTCTCCAGGGTCCCTTCCTCCCAGCTCCCCTCCCATCTCACCTCACCCTCATCCTGTCCCGGCTACTACAGGGCCACTCTGCCCCTCAGGCCATCCCTGGGTTTGATGGCCTCTGTCCCCTGTCTGACCCCAGGTTGCAGACGTTCCTGTCCATCAGAGCTCAGGCAAACATCTGTCATTTTGACATGACAACTATTTGCAGCTGCCAGCCTGTTGTGTTCTCAGAGCCCAGACCATCTCTGACCACATGGCCTTGCTGTCGCCTGGAAATGCCACCTCCACCCGGTGCAAGCTCGCAGAGCTTCCTGGCCAGCCGGGCGGCCTCAGGGCTGCTGGATGGGGCATGAATACAGCCATTCAGCTTGCAGACCACTGTCCTCGCTCCCTCTTGGTGGTCTAGAACCTTCTCGGAAAGATCACCGCATGCTGACCGGCCCCCGTCAGGATGCTTATGTCGTCAGGCAGGTCAGTAACTACCTTGGACAAGGCCCAGTACACAGGTCTGTCTGTCCTATCCCAGACTCCTGAGGAAGGAGGGGTGATCAGGGACCCTTGTGGACAGCATCCCAAGTAACCACACAGATGCTTGAGGGGGAGGCACCTGCCAGATTTATTCACATAAGAGAGCGTGGGAACACACCCCCCAGGCTGGGGCTCCACAGGTGCTCCGTATGGCCGGGCCGGCTGGCTCAGGGTGCTCTGGACCTCCCTCCAGGGCAGAAGCCCCTACGTGAGGGTGGGATCGGTGATGCTGTGGTCGGGATTGCAGGTGAAGGCGATGGTGACGGCATAGCGTGTGCCCCAGAGCACCTTCTCCACATGGTGCAGGTTCTCAGAGCCCGAGGTAAAGAAGGAGACTCGGCCTGGGAGGGAGGGGTGTGTGAGCATGGAGGCCAGTGCACTGGGGTGGGGCTGGACACACACACACACACACACACACCAGGAAGGAGGGAGGCATGAGCAGTAAGGCCAGTGTGCTGGGGAGGGGTTGGAAACACACACACACTCCGAAGTTTGTGTTCATGGTGGTGGTTGTTGGAGGCTGTGTTCATGGTGGTGGTGGTTAGAGGTTGTGTTGATGGTGACGGTTGTTGGAGGTTGTGTTCGCGGTGGTTGTTGCTGGAGATTGTGTTGATGGTGGTGGTTGTTGGGGGG